ACAGCGAGACGCCCTTCCCAGTTTTTCGGCGTAGGCTAGGCCTAATAAGAATGTAGTTTTTCGCACATAGGCCAGCCTAGTCTAGATGATCTAGATCTAGGCCTACCATGTTTCTCACTTCTCCGCTGCGGGGATGGAGAGGTCGTAACTGCATAATAAGGTCAAATGAGAGCGCGGGATTCATTAGCATTTTCAGTTTGGTAGGAAATTTTGAATGTTGCCGGGGTGGCGGCCGAAACCTATTCTTATCGATTTTGGACCACTAAGTGATCGTTAACATGCGCAACTTGCACACGGGACTTCCCAGATTTTTCGCCCTTATCCGAGAAGGCTAGGTGTTAGATCTTACCTACCACTAGACCAGGGGCATAGCCGAAAGACAGCCGTAAGAAGGAGCAAAGGAGGAAACGTCAGGAGCCAATAGGAGGAGTCGAAGGAGGTGAGGGGGTCGGGGCAGAAAGTGGAGACGAAAGTGTGAAGAGTAGGAAGGAGGTGAAAGGATACTATGTTAGAGCAGAACATTCCCGTCGCTATCTTTATTTCTTTTGGTAAGAGTTTTGCTGGGTTCGCAGGTGCAGGTCATATGACACGGAGGAAATTTAGAATTTTGCCCGAGTGGCGCCCAAGCCTTAACTCTTATCGATTTTTGGACCACCAAGGGAATCTTTAACGTGCGCAACAGAACATAGAGAGCAGGAAAGGATATGAAAGGAGAAAATTTTAGAGAAGAAAATTTCTGGATTTAAACTCGGGACCTATTGAAATTGAATGACAGGCGAACACAATCTCTCGACCACGAGAGCCCCTTATAATTTCTATTCTTAGCTAGTTTGCTACTGACTGCATTGCGCAAGTACATGTATTTTGCCCACCAACTCGTTTTCCGCGAAAAACTTCTGACGCACGACTCCCGAAAAATTTGCCCCGAACATGAACCCTTCCCTAGAAAATGCGTGCCACCCGGGCAAAATTCCAAATTCTAAACCTGTCCGCCTGCCTGTGTGTCTGCTTACTTGCTTGCCTGCCTGCATGCCTGTCTGTCTAGTAATCTGTCTACCTTCCTACATACCTAGTGTACTTCACACACACACACATACACACACACACACACACACACACACACACACACACACACACACACACAGTGTGTGCTTGGGTGTGCGCACGCGCATGCCAGATTCTGACACTCTGGTTTGGTGTTTCACCACGCTCACACACACACACACACACACAGTCACACACACACACATGAGCACGTGTGTGTGCACGTACACACTCCCGCTTAAATTTGTACACGCGGAGAGAGAGAGAGAGAGAGAGAGAGAGAGAGACAGAGAGACAGAGAGACAGAGAAAGAGAGAGAGAGACAGAGAGAGAGAGAGAGAGAGAGAGAGAGAGAGATGTACGTAGTTTTACGTCCCCGTGAACACAGTTTAGATAATTTAGGAGACAGGCTTCTGATCTAGAATCAAGCCTAACACCACAGCAGAAAGACAGAGATAGGCAAAAGAAATGTCTCCGAAGTCGAGAATCGAACTTTGGCCTATAGTTCCGCATAATATGTTATGTAGTTTAGTAAGAGATTTACGGCGCTCGCATCAACTTAAGGTCATACATGTAATAGATCTATGCATGTGTTGCACACAGCGCCGATTGCACACCAGCTCGTTTTATGTGGAAAATTACTTAACTATTGGAGCGAAGAATTTGGCCCGAACATGAACCACCTTGGACACCTTCCCTAGAAAATGCGTGGCTGTCTACTTGTCTGCGTGCCTGTGTATGTGCTTACTGCTTACTTGTCTGCCTGCCTGCCTGCATGCCTGTCTACCTACCTACCTACCTACCTACCTACCTACCTACCTACCTACCTACCTACCTA